ACTGATAAGTCTCATGTTTCCTGCCTGACCACAGCGTGTATCATTACCCTCTCTCGTCTGGGCGGTAAGAAAGAGCCCTCAGCCAGAGCAGCAGCAGCCAACAAGCTGACTGTTGCTATCTGTAAACTATGCCGCCGAAACATAATTTCAGCCAATCAGCGTCAGATCTGATGCTCAAAGGGCGCCCTGTCAGCGCCCTTTGAGTTGTTTAGACTCGTATCCAAGGTGACGCTACAGTAGTTGTCGAGGATGGCTGCGTCTGCTGGAGACTCCGGTGCTAGTGGATCGCCGGAGCTGTAGATTAACATTTACATGCTTATGTGCATGCAGGAAAGGAGTGAGCAGAGGGTCGAGTTGTCGATTCTTGTTCAGTTTTCAACTTCCTCACCCTCTCAGACTTTGAGTTGCGCGCACTGCTAAAGAGACGCGCTACCATGGAAACCAAACAATGGTGTAGCTGTATTAAAGTCCGAGTGGAAACAGTCTTGAGTAAATCTGATTTTGTCAGAAATCGGGAGAAATCTGATTTTGGCAGAAATCGGGAGAAAATCGGGAGGGTTGGCAAGTATCACACACACACACACACACACACTTTCAAACTACATTTTGTATCAGACTGATACAATATGTACAGTTTGAAAGGGTGTTCAAAGAAATTTGGTGATGATTAATGGTTTTTGTGTTAATGTAATAGCAGTTAAAACAGGACCGGTCAAATTTGACCACGAACACCAAAGTAAGGGGAGGAACACGAAGACAATAGGAGGGTTACATGACATACTGGACCTTGACTTTTAATAACTGTTTTACGACATAGGCCTACTATACTATGACTTTTTTTAAGACGTCCTATGCCATTGCTTTTTTTCTACCAACTATAACTTTTGTTTCCCCTTTTTGCTGTTATAAAAAACAACTTTCATCCTTGAAATAAGGGCCGCAGAAACAAGCAAGAATAATTCATATTATTTATTTATTGAAACAAAACAAAAAGAACAAGCAGGTAATGATGTGTCGAGCAAACAGAAGTACAGAAAATACAAATAATGCATTTGAAAAGGTCACTTTTTTTTCCATTATAAAAACCCCGAAGATGAATTTCATGAAACCCTCACACACACACATTCAGACACACATACTCGTTCAAGCTACACTACTGCAAAACAGTCTGAAATAATTAACAAGTGTTTGGAGAAAATAAACCCAAACAACAGCCTCATATACATTTCTAATCTTTAATTCTCACAATTCAACATATTATTACATGAAGAAACACCCCCAAGCATACACACACACACACACACACACACACACATTTGTTCTCAAAGCGCCATAAATCATGTTCTCTCTGTACGTACATAATGTTTGAAGATGATTAAAGTAATACTTTATGTACGAAATATTTCTGTTACGCTTGTGATTTTGGCCCCATTATTTTGCTAACAATTCAGCATAGTAGGAAACTTTATTATCATGATTTTATAATAACGTTGCAAGAAAAGGAGAAAGAAGTTGTACTAAATGAAGTTTAGTGTTTAATAAGAAAGGGAATTTAAACTCCTGCTAACTTTACGCAGACACACTAAAAGGGGGTTTTCAGTTGTTTTGGTCCACGGACAGTATGTCGGCATAGAGAATAATCTAAATCCCCCACTTTAACCTTCTACTGCTTACATAACGGTAGATGTGTGTGAAGAAGAAGCAACAATACCTTGACTCTAATATGAAAATATAAGCTTGAAAATGCAACGGTGAGGCAGGAGGTGAATCACTCACATGTTGCATTTTGAGCAGATCATTATTAATATATTCTCTTTGCATCGAGTAAAGGTAACTCATCCAAAGGGGGAAAGGTGGAAGGATGGCAAAGGAGCAAAAGATTATGGATATTGCAGTACGATGAGTTGAAGACAGAGGTGTGAAGAGGGGGCGTCTCCTTCCTCGTTTCCTTCCTTGCTCTCACTGCCTCACTTCCACATAGTTAGCGGGGAAGAGGCCGTACGCTCCTCCGCAGACGCCTCGCCACCAGCCCTCGTCGATCATCTCGATGTTTGTGATGATGTCGTCGGGGTCGAAGGAAATCTCGTCCTCGCCGGCTGAAACGGGAAGACATTTGGACTCAATGTATTTTTCAGATTCAAGGTTCAAGGCTTTTATTGGTCATGCGTACATAGCTACAGTGTAGTCATGACGATGACAATCTTAGGTTACAGACTCCTCCAACAGTGCAACACAACAAAACAGATACAATAGTGTAAGTAAATACAAATAAAATAAAATATAAATAGTGCAAGAAGAGTCTATATACAATTAATTGGAATATGATATATTAGATAAATAGAATAGTATTTATAGGGGCAAAGAATAAGACTAACAACGACCAGTGCACTCTTTCTGATCTGCTCCCAGCGTTCAGTCTCACCTGCTTGGTAATCGTAGAGAGCGACCGCCGTCACCCCGACGTCTTCTCCGTACTCCAACTGAGCGTCTGAAGGAGGAACACGTGAGTATTAGTCAAAGAAAGGAGACTCAATCTAAGCACATATGTGACTTGCTCTATCGCAGTGTTTCTCAAACTGTTTCATACCAAGGACCACTTAACCAATAAAAAAACACTCGCGGACCACCTAACTCCACAAATATCCAAAATCACATCGTTTTTCTAGAACAGATTTCAAATCGCCTGAAAATGGTACAAACAAGTGGCAACGTGTGTGACGAAGGTGTTGCGCTGGGCTATATCATGCAATCGAAAGTGAAACTTAAGCTCGCTCCATTGCGGAGATATTCCAGCGAGAGTGCGGAAAACTTAAATGTATTTATTTATTTCAAATGTGAAATGTTACCAATATACTCACGGACCACTAGGGGGCGCTCACGGACCACACTTTGAGAAGCACTGCTCTATCGAAATCAGTCGCATTGACCCGAAGACACATTTTGAGTTGTATGTAGTTGAGTTGCTGTAGCTTTCTAATGATATCAGGATTGTTGTTGTACTCCAAATATTAAGCAAAATATGTCACAATATATAATGACTGTCACCGAGTCATCATTTTGAGAAAAAGGCCTTCAAAGCTCTTCTCTGGAATCCATCGATCTGATTGATTATTAGCAGAGCAAATAATCAAAGTAGTACGGACTGGTCTGGGAAAAGCTCGCGAGTGTGTGTATTGTGTTTGTTTCCCGGGGAAAACCCTTACGAGAAACACCGGCTGTTGTTACGCCTGCTGTGACGTTAAGTTTCTCCGTTCTCCGCTT